TTTTGCTATTCTCTTTAGTCCCCTCTGGGGGAAAAAATAAATAAGAAAAAAAATTGGAGCCTGGCAAATGCCATACAATGCAAAGATGAAAATCAGAAACAGCACCTCCTAGATGGTAATGACGAAGCAGATTATGGAAATTCTTAACTTTATTTAGATAACACCTGCTGTTAAGTTGGTAGCCTAGTTACCTTCTGGGGTTTATGTCAAGGGTATGAGCTGTCTGAAAGCTCCAGTCAAGTCACAGAATCACAGAATCATAGGGTTGGAAGGGACTTCTGAAGATGATCTAGTCCAACCCCCAAATCCTTGCATGAGAGGAGAGTACAATTTCTATCTCTGCTAACATAAATCCTGGCCTTAACAATTATCACAAGATTTCTGAGAGGCTTAAACCCTGATAAAGACTCCACAACTGAAAAAGAAACATTTTCAGGTTTTTAAATGGTTGTTATCCTGTCTTCGAAGTGCTGGATATCATGAGGGGAAAAAAAAAGCTAGGGACAGTTCTGAAAGTACAAGGCAGTGAGAAGAGTCTGCTAAAAAAGTTGATTCTCCCTCTAGCCACAGCAATAGCAGTTAAATTACTCCAACCTCTCTGGGCTTTGCTTCATAGCTGGGATTGAGATGGGATTTTTTCTAGGCTTGAACCACTGTGTTTGAAAGTTTTACACCCAGGGCTGCAGTGGAGGACAGACTGTTTGGGTCAGTCTGGGTAACATCAGCAATTCTGCTCCTGAACAATGCTGATCCTTTGCAATAGCATCCTGTAACTGAGTTTCAGTGAACAACTATTTTGAAGCAGGAGTTATAAAGACAGGTACAATTAACAGATTAAAGATGTACATCTTTCCTTAGGATGGAAATAGTAAAAGCCTTGCCCTGTTCTGGGCAAGATGGAGGCAATTTTTTGGTAGTGTGACTTTCAGCCTTAGAGTTAAATATCTGGTCTTCTAAATGTACTCCTCCACCAGCCACATCATTCTTTTGAAATCCTATTGCAGAAATGAATTGGGCACATATTGAAATACAGCTGAGAGGAAGCTGAAGTGGCTAAACCTTTGAGAAGTTCACCCTTACATGCAGGAAAAGGTTCCAACAGGAAATCCGTATGGTTGGTGCTGCCCAGCTCACAGACCTAGAGGCTGCTGTGGTTCATGCAGTGCAGCATCCCGGGCAAAGTGAACTTACCGCGATCTTCCCAAGGTCGATACCGTAGTTAAGTGCACTCCACGAACACTGTTTGAAGTTGGGTGTCCAGGACTCCTCGATGCTCTCACGCATGCACTCGCCCTTCTCCCCTTTCAGCCCATCCCGTCCTGGGATTCCAGGTGTCCCAGGGATCCCGTTGGCTCCCGGGTTTCCATCCCGTCCAGGAACGCCACTGGGGCCTTGCAAGCACATGCCATTATACTGAAACACAGAACAGACCTTGCTGCTTCCATCCCTTGACTCCCTGGGCAAACCAAATAAAATGCAAATGAACAACAAAACACAAAACCCCTGCCGTGCCACAAATTAATGGGCTACTTCTGCATCACCAAGAAAAAGATTCCATAGAAGAGGAAAATAGAAAAATAAGTTTTCAAAGATAAGCACCACCAGCAGAATTTGCTTTATATTAAGATGCCGTTTTGTTATGAAAAGATACATAAATCCTAGAATTAAAAATTTACATAGTCCAAGAATTATAACCTGTTGGAACACATCAGAAGAGTCAAAACATTTCAATACAGAAAAAAAAAGTCATATGTTAATTCTTTCTCCTAACCCATCATTGCTTGTATAATTGTCTCTGCTAATAAGTTTTCATTATTATTTTTCCTTTTTTTTAAAATAGAGAAAATTTTTCATTCCATAGAGTGCAGAGGTTAAGGCTGGTTTTCTTTCCTCTGTCGCTGCTCCTCTGGGACAGAATCACGTTGCAATAGTCAAGCCCCACAAGTCAGGCTCCAGAATGCACACACATCAGTGGTGATGCAGATGTGGGAAGCTGCAGCCTGGAATAATCCTGAAGTCAGGATTCCCCCATTACAGTGGGAAGGCACACATGGGAAGATGCACAATGCACACTAACATCCTTCCTAACATCACAATATTATGAAAGGTCGAGTGTTGGTCTCCCAAACTGCACATTAACACGTTGCCTTCCTACTTTATGAAATTTGGGTTTGCCCTTCTTAGAGAGTAGGTTTGTGCTCCTTCCCCCAGCAGCCTGAGTGCTGGGATGTGGGAGGAGCACTGGTGTCAGCAGGCACGGAAATGCTGACCAGGAACCTGCAGGATCTAGTGGTGGCTTCTACTTCAAATGCTCTTTCCCATCTGGTGACTGACTGCTTGATCTAGTCTTCATCCCAAATCTTCACAGATAACCATACTCTGCTCTTCCACTTTCTCACACTTTTTCATCTTCATCTTCTTTAAACCACCTAATCCTCACCTGTTTCAAAAAGAAAGAGTGCTGCAACTATTGCCCTTCCTGCCAGCCATGCCCCTGTCTGCACTGCAAGAGCTGTAAACTACAGCCCCTGCCCTCTCTCCTTTGTCATACTGGTGAACTTTCTTATTTTGAGGTTTGCCTTTTCACAGGTCTTGGTGCAAAAACCAGCATAGCTATCAGAGGCTTGGCTGGAGCTGCAAAAATAAATCAGTGACTATATGGAGAGGTCTAGTAAGAAGTAAGACGAGAGCTGGACTAACAGTTGCTGGCTTTCCCTTACTACCTTCACCAGAGAACACTGGCTGGCTAAAAGCAGTGGAAACAGTGGAATATTTTAATCAAGAAGGCCACTTTTTAGAAAAATTAGCTGAAGAGGAGACTGGTTGGTAAAGCATACAGTGACTCAGGGGCCATTAGAATGATGGAACGGCATTTCTATTTCATGCAGCACTGGTTATCTGCTTTTGCTGCTGTTTTCCCATTGGACTCTATTTGTAACAGTGACTGGCTCCTTCTTTTGCATGTGGTTACCACAGAAGTCCTGGATGTGGAAATGGGCAAGAGCTGGGGAGTGGCCAAGGCTCAGGCCCGTTATCCCTCCCATCCCCAGGGACACCACAAGGGGGGCTGGGCTGCCCTGACAGAGGGGTTGCCACCGCGGCGGCCCAGAGCTGCACAGCAGCCTACCACGGAGAGCAGCTCAGCCATTGCACACCCCAAAAAATTGATGTGAGCACAAGAATTACCCAGGCTTTGGGCTCCATTCCAACTAAAGTCATCTGTCTTACCAAATAAAGTCTTTTTCATGCTTTTGTAAGCTGGAAATGCATAAAACGTATTTTAAAATGTCTGCTGAAGGCAGGATCCCTTCTTGGGCATACCTTCACTCTGTCCTGGCATGGCTTTAGCTGAAGCAGTCTGTACAACTGGACAGTGCCTGAGTCAGCTGCCATTGATTTACCTGCGTTTTGCTGCTCATTTTGTTACACCCAAAAGCATGGAGCAATGCCAGAAAAAAGAGAGACCCTCAAATACTGCTCCAACAAAAAATGTAAGCTCCTCCTCTGTGTACAGAGTCCTTATTCTCAATACAATTCAACTTCCACAATGAAAGTGAAAAAGCAATGAAGTGGTGTGAAAGGGAAGGAGCTTTGCTATCAGTGGTGTTTCCAGCACATCACTTTAGGGGATCTCTCTGAAGATCATGAAAAAAATGGCAATGCCACTGATTTTCTATAGGAGGTGAACAGCAGTCCAGCAGTTCACAGAAATACCGTCACATCTGCTTTCTACATACCAAGGACTGGAAAATCTCCTTCCTCTCAACTACCCCTGAGATAGGATAGTCCCAATGCATTCAGGTTTCTAGTTGCAGTGGAATTTCAAACAGTCGTATGCAGTCTCCACAGCCAAAGTGAGTAATGCATTCACACAACTCCAAGGAAAAGTGGCTTCGGGAAGCATGCAGATACAGTTTTCAGAGTGTCTGCTGAATAGTGGAACTTTTTTTCGTCTTGCTTTGTACTTCTCTCATTATTATTTATGCACTAGCCCTTTAGGAACTAAACAGCATTTACTGCTTCTGTTGGAAGGGCTGTAGGATTTCGATGTTGCCCCTGCAGTGGCTGAGGGCAGGGTCCAGTCCACGGCGCTGCCTCGGGTCCCGCCGGGATGCCCCCCGGCACCGGGCACGGCGGGGAGCGGGGGCTCCGCCGGCTCCAGCCGCAGCCCCCGACCCTGGCCCGATGGGGAAAACACCAAGACACGCACCCGGCCGCCGAAAACCTGCGGTTTCTGTCAAAGCCCGTCTAATCCTTTCTCGGCATTTTCCTGATTCAGCACAACCAGGGCGTAATTAACAGAACCCAAGAGAGAAGTCCAGCGGCGCAGGACCAGCGCTGCCCTGCCCCGAGCGGCGGCGAGATTTTTCGAAACCCTCTGATTTTTCCCTTCTTTTCCCACATCTTTGCAGCAAACAAAAGCGTCCGCGTGGATCCTCCGGCCGCCGCCCCCCATCCGCACGGGGCCCCCAACACCTCAGTCAGCCGAGATCCCGGCCCCGCTCCCGGCCCCGCTCCCAGCCCCCGGCGCCGCCGCTCTCACCACGTCCACCACCTCCCGCTGGCGAAGCGCCTTCTGCTTCCCCTTGAGGCTGTCGGAGCCGGCGGGCGGCGGGGCCGCCAGCAGCAGCAGCAGCAGCAGCAGCGCCAGCAGCAGCAGCGGCGGGGCGGCGGCGAACGGGGCGCGGGGCATCGTGCGGGGGGCGCGGGGTGGGAGGGGAGGCCGGGATGCACCGGGGCCGGGGGGAGGCTGCGGCGCAGGAACCCGTGTCCACCGCTCTGGGCGGCAGCGCGGGGATAAATGAGCCTTTCAGCGCGCGCAGCCCGAGCTCCCTCCCCGGGGAGGCCGGGAATTTCCATCCTGTAACGGAGCGGGACGGCCGGGCAGAGCCATCCCCTCGCAGCCATTGGCACAGGGCCGGGGACTCCCGCCCCCTCGGGCCGGCCCCAACGAGCTTTCCCCGGGCGATGCTGGAGCCCCCGGGCGATGCTGGAGACCCCCGCGCCAGGCGGCGGGAGGGATGCGGGAACCCTCCCGGCTCTCCTGGAGCCCGAGGCAGCCCACTTCCAGGTCTTCAGGGATTTGCTCGGCAGATGGTAACTCCGTTCCGATGAAGGAGCTGTTTCGGTAGGAAATCGCGTAACGCCGCAGCGAGAGCCTGATGTACGTGAGAGGAAATGGTGTTAAAACAGCAGCTGGGCATCGATCACAAATTTCATTGTAGCAGAAGTCAAGGTAAGGACACAAAATCCTTCTGAACAGCAGCGGATTTTGGACTTTATTGAAGAACCTAGTATTGTCAGACTGAACATTGCCAATCTAATAACAGGAGGAAAGTTCTTGGCAACCCAGCGTAAATCATCTCATTTTACTTTAATTTAAAATTTATACTTTACTTTTCATCACACCAGAAATGAAAGCACTATAAAATAAAGAATGCTGTATGTCCTCAAGCATTCAAAATAGAAATAACATATATTTAAGGGGTAGCTTCTGTATGCTGCAAACCTTGTGGGATTTGTAGAGGTAAAGTTTCCAGAAGGGGGAGATAAGCTTCAACACATATTTTTTTTTCTGGAGTATTTAACGAAACCACACATTTGTCCTGCAGGAAAGAATGCCACAAGACATTGAGTCATTCACAATAGACTACACAGAACCAGATTTTTGTGTACATTAAACCCCTTCATGTCGCTCTGCACTTACTTGTCTTTCTTCCCTTTCCTTGTCTATACAGGTGGAACAACAGCAGTGAAGTGAGATTTGCACCCCAGGTCAGTCACACTGCTGTCATCAACCCTGTCACATGGTGTCCTGAGAACTGGGACTGACATCAGCCACGTTGCTGAGGTGAGTGCTCCTTTCTTGAGAAGATGGGAAACAATACACCCAGCCAACTTAAAAAAACAGCTGGCAAACAGTAATGGTTCCCTAAACCAGCTGTGAAAATTTATAAAATGATGTAAATCCATAATTGCAACAATTGCTTCAGTGACAGCCTCAGTCGACATCCATGAACACGCACACACAGAGGCTTCCTTGTGCAATCGTGTGTCGCTGCCAGCAAACCCTCCTGCCTCTGGCCCGGGCTGGTGGCAATACTGTGAAGGTGGTAATGTTTGATTTCTGTGGCACCTGCGTGTTCACACAAGCATCGTTACCAAGGGCTGGGGATCCCCAGCATCAACACACGCTGTTGCTAAGGCATATACCTTCACAGGCTGCCAAACCTATGCATTACAGAATTAATTTCTTCAGGCAGTCTGCAGTAGCTGAAGCACACAGCACAGCAGCACTGCATACCTTCGCAAGACAGTTGCTCAGTATTTTAGAGAAAAAAATTTGCACGTGCATCCGCATATATTTCCCCACTTGGATTTGCTGAGCCATTAATTCAAGTGTGGGTTAGAAGCTTTGAAATCAAAATGACTTTGCCAGAGGAAGCAAACTGAGGAGTGCTGTAAAAGAATGTATTAGCAAACAATGTGGGACATCTTCTTTGAGCTCTAGTGAGAGCATTGTGTAATTCCTAGTTGACTTACGGCGTGTATTTCCATCTGGAAAACAGAAATATCAACATTCTCCTTAGCCTGCTTCAGTCCAAGCAAGCCTTGCCATCTGCTAGGTTTATGCTCTGTGGGCTTTTGATATATTTAAATGCTTCTGAGGACATAATCATTGCTGAATGCTGGTGAGCTATTCAGATTGAATCAGAACTATTGATCTACTTTGCCTTAACTATTTCCCAGATAAAAGGAGCTGTGGTAACAAACTTGCCTGAGCATCCTCAAACCATGATCCATATTACATCAACTAGTGATTCCTTCATCTTACCCATACTGCCATATGATATAGACTTTATATTTTATGTGGCCTTACAAACACATCAGAAAAGATTATGAGTTGCTACCTCTACCACTTAAATGTTGCTAAAATCTCCCAGATGGTCAATCTGCTCCTGCACAGCCTAGGCAGGCTCACACAAGGTCACCGTGGCACTGTCAGCGCACCACACATAACAGATGTTTACACCACAAGGCTGATGCCATGAGTGCAATCTCTCTATTGCAGCTTGAGCTGTTTCCCCCTTCACACAACCTCTCACCATCCCAAAAATCCAGACACACAAGTCTGGAGAGGAGGATGTGCCCATACGCACACATGTTTCCATTCACCTCACATATTTAATTCAAGGGACTGTCCACTGGGTCGTTGGGTCTCTCTGCTTTTCCTGTGCAAACTATTCCAGTTTATGAATACAGTTTGTTAGAGCACTGGATGGAATTCAACCAGTAAATAATTGTTATTCAGTCCTTGGTCTTCACGGGGTGAAACAACTACTGGGAACCAGGAAAACCAGACTTAGGGGTCTAAATATTGCCTGAGGTTTAAGGCTGAGGATCCTGAGCCAAAAGAGGCCCAGTAAAGTAAGTGCCAAGACCTGGACCTTTTGTCTGCTTTTAACTCTTGTTGCTTTGTGCATTTCCCTGTTCTGGTGATGTCTGGGGATTTTGACTTTGGTTGGCAGCTCAATTTGTGCATAGCTTTGGGGAGCACGTACGCACCCCAGGGTAAGTAGCAGAGCTCAGGGGTAGCACTGCAGTGCTCAGCATCACAGCATTTGGGATCTCTGATGATCTATCCTCAGTGCTTTTAATTGTGGAATTCATCATTTAGATCTTGTTCACTATTACTGATATTTTAGGGTGAGTTGTAAGTTGGTGTAAAAGGCTGAGATCAGAGAAAATTTGAATTTCTCAAATGGCTATTTGCAGGCTGCCTGTCTGATCGAGGAGACAAAGAGCCGTCTGTACTGCTGTAGAAGAAAATCAAAGAACGAGCTATCGGGTAATTTATTACAGGTTTAAGAAATAGATTCCAGTTTCTTCCACAAAAAGCCTTAGGAACTACATGAATATCAGTGGGATTGTGGCCTTGATCCCTTCTAACACCTCTTAATTTAAACATATGATATAGTATAGGATGTCCGTTATTTTAAAATAATCCAAAACATCTCTCCCTCTGTTTTATTGCTATACCAGCACAGATACACCTACTTAAAACAAGTCTTCCAGTAATTTCTACATAAAATGGTAAGCATTGTAGCCACAGCAGTGCTTTGCAGGTATACATATTAGCATTTGAATCTTAAAAACTCTTTTGGGGCCAATTTTTTAGTGGATTATCATACTCAGTGATGTCGTGTTTCTGCCCATAAGAAAAGCTTAAAAGCGTAAATCGTATCAATATTCTCTTTGTTGAGACTCTACACCTTTAGGTGATATTCAGGTCATGCTAACAGTTCCCTATGCAAGCCACGAAAAAAATAATTGATCATCTGAATACCAGCCTGAAAAGACAGGTAGAGGTGAGAGCATAATAATGGAGTTGTCCAAGAGGGGCAGAACTGTTAGGAAAGCATGTGCTCACCCTTCAGATGCTTGTCTGCTGAGGAGAATTCCTACGTCCATATACAAGCAGATGGCATTTTTTGAGTGTGAGAAAAAATTCAGGAGTTAAATGTTAATTCTTTACTTCTGAATAAGCACATGGCAGTTCTTAACGTTACTAGAGGCTACATTGTATATTTGCACAATAGAAAACACTAGAGAGAGGATCAATGCTTTTTATTATTCATATTAATTTTTTCTATCAAGATTAATCCTTAACATTCTCTCCAACAAGTCAAGATGAGGACATAGGTCAAGTATCAGGAAGCTCAACTTACAGAAACAGCTCCTTCCATTGCCTGCTGAAGTTCCAGGCAGATCTGTTTTTTTCTGTCCAAGTCATCAGTTGACTTATAGTTGCATTTCTCTACAGCTCCGTTACTACAATAATAGTGGAAGCACCGAATATCTTAAACTAAACACCGGTCACAGACAGTCAGTCAGAGATAAACTTTAATAAAACTGTTTGGAAGAACAGTCTGCTCACTGATAAAGGATAACTCAGCACACATCCAGACATTTCCATAGTGTAAACATTACGATGAAAAGCCTGTACTGTTCTCATTGACTAGTGGTTGCAAATTTCAGGCTCTGAAGGGGTCTGGTCTGTGCCTCTGAAAGTCTGCTCCCAGGAGCAGCTGGTGCAATCCTGGCTGCAATCATGGAAACTTCTGGGTCTGAAGTGGCATCTGGAGCACATCTGGTTGAAGCAGGTCTGCTTAGATTGGGTTATTCAAAGACTTGTGCATGTGGTAGAATGGGAAAATTAATTCAGTGCAGTTTTAAGTTAAATTTACTGTGCCTCCAGTGAATCATCATGTGCAAGGAGAGAGCTAAGGCTTAGGAGGAACATTTGCTCATTAATGAGTGGCTGTGAATTAATCAGTGGTAGAAAAATCACTTGGAAGCCTCACAAATCCTCAATGAATAGAAAGGCAGAACTGAAAAGCTAACTTTCCTTAAATCCTGTGCTAATAAGTGGTTATTAGGATGTGAAATACAGTGCTCCATTCAGACAGGATTCTTCAAATGAAGGGAACAATCTCTGTTTTTCTGCACCATTCATCAAGTGCACTACCACAGGTCTGTCCTTCCAGTTTTGGAATTAGCCATAATCCTAAAATTAAAGGAATAGACTTGAACTTTTAAATTTTTTATTTTATTTTATTTGTGTCCAACAAGCCCTTTGAAAAGGAGTTCCTCAGGATAAGCAAGGCAGCTATGAGCAGGGCTGAGGCAGGGCTGTATAGCCCTTCAAGGTGGCTTACAGAAACCAGAGGTCTGTAGCCACCGTAACAGGCACACACAGAATGCACAGAAGCCCATGGATGAAAGAAGCTTTGGTCCAAGAAGCAAACTAACCGGTCCAGGACACTCAACAGTTGCACAAAACTTGCTGTCTCAGAAGAGAGAGAGGGGCAGAGCCACAACAACAAAGATGATTGAAACACACAGTCACTGCAGCTCTGCCTCAGATGTAGTGGTGGAGCTTGAAGCCCATGGCATTCCTGAGATCCGGCTTCTCACACCCGCACTGACCTCGGCAAAGAAGCACCACGGCTCGTGCCAAGCAGGGCTGTGGAGCCTCTGGGCAGCACCTCCTGCCTCTGGTCACTGATGACCCACTGTCACCAAAAGAGCAAAGGATGGACAGAGGCTGCCGGGTCAGGAGAGCGCTTCAGTGGGGGCATCCTTTAGTCCGAGGATACTTCAACTCTTGCAATAAATTGTTTTATGTGCTAAAATAGGAATCTTATTTAATTTGCATCAACAACTGACTAGCGCAATGCTGCTGGAAAGGATCAAGCACCTGAATCCCTGGCTCACAGGGGGATGAAATTGTGTTTGGCCATGACAGCAAAATGTTCTGACCAGGTTGCAAAATGTTCCTACCAGGTCGCTATGAAGAAAAATGTCTTTTGAAGTCCTTCTTTGAGTTATGTTTTTACAGCAGGTGCTCATCTAACCACACTTTTGTGAGGCATTACTTTGTTTCTAGTGTGATTTCCTTCCTTCTATCCTTATAACTCTCCCGTAATTACAGTACCTCTTGGTTGCCAAGTAGAGAAACTTTCAGAATGTGTGCCCTAAAAATATCGAATGCTGTTGAGGTTATATTAATTTAAAAGGCAGAGTCCTTCCTCTTTTTTTGGGATGTGCTTTCTTGTTTTTTTTCTACTGGTTGGGTGACTTTCCATTTCTCTCCGTAGGGAACCTCACCCCAGTTATCAGCATCTCTCAGTGTCCTTTCTCACTGCCTACTAAATAATCTTGCCTACTAAAATCACATGTTAAGAAAAATAACTCAGATTAATTTCCATGGTGAGCCCTGACTTCAGCCAGTCCAACACATTTGCATCTTGTCTGCTCACTGGCACATTTCACCTGTCAGTGTCATTT